ATATTAAAAAACAATCAAATTTTAGTATAATTCATGCTTGCACAATATTAGCAATCATTTTTTAAAATTGAAAATATTTGTATTTAATTTATTATACAAATTAATTCCTTTAAATGTTATTAATTTCAATTTCTCGAACTATTAACTTGTACTGAATATTGTTTCGATCTTTATTGAAAACAGAATTGTTACGTAAAAGAAAAGAATTTACCATGTGCGTCTCGGTAATAAGCATGCGTCACGCTTCGGAACCTTTCCTGGCCGGCTGTGTCCCATATCTGCAGCTTGATCGGCGTGTCGTCGACGGTGACAACTTTGTTCTGCAAAGGCAGAAAAGGTACTTCTTTGAATTTCTGTAGTCCTACGAGGACTAAGTTTTAATAAATCACGAAGATATCGTCGTCCAATGTGAATAACACTTCGTTGTATAAAGAATCATTAATTAAAAGTTTATTAACATTCTTTGTTAATCGCATACAAGGTAAATGTAAAATGAAATATCTCTAAAGTCTCACCCTAAAATCAATGCCGACAGTCGTTATATAGTTTCCCGACAAGAAGCGACCGTCACGGAAACGTGTCAGAAGACAAGTTTTTCCAACGCCGCTGTCACCGAGTAACATCACCTGCATTGAGCAACGATTGTTCAGGTAATCGTTTCATTCTTATTCCATTCTTACTTGCTCATCCGTCCTTGTAATGTTAATCTCAAATTTTCATTCCGATCAAACTAATATTTTAGAAGATATATAAAAACAGATAATATATGTCTACATAGTGAATTCAGTTGCTTGCATTACAAATTAGTGCACATACTTACATACTAAAAGCTATTATACATAAAGTTAACAAAGTTAAAAGCACATAAATATGTTAAACAATTAAATACCCGATAATACTGATGCACATTATTTAATGAAATATATATAATTTCATTGTCGAAATTGATTATATTACATCAATGCATTTAGATAATTTATATAAAATAGCCTTTAATATGTATTGATTCAGTAGTGCGAATGAATTCACCAATAGTTAACCATCCATTAAACAGTAGTAGCCACAATTTCCAGAAAGAGAGCGAGAGAGAGAGAGAGAGAGAGAGAGAGAGAGAGAGAGAGAGAGAGAGAGTAAAGAAAATTTAATTGAATTAATTGAATTAAAATAATAAATAAAAATAAATAAATAAGATTGCATTTCACGCGAGAAATAAGAAGCAATTATGTTCGAAGAATCGGTCGCGCTTGGCAAGCGAAAAAGAAATAAGAGAAATGCCAGCGCGTCGTCATAAGATGAGTGAGCGTATAATAAGAAAACGGGTATCAGGGGGCAAGGTAGGACCTTGAAGAGAAGGTCCGCGTGATCAGGTGGGGTGTGCTGGCCGGCGGAGTCGACGCTATCGCGCGAGGACTGGCGTCTGGTCGGGCCCGTGATATCTTGGGGCCTGGCGAAGGCGGTGGACGTGGCGGCCGGCGCAGCAACGGGGGTCGGCTGGGCC